TTTGCTGATGACACTAAACTGGGAGGTGTGGCTGACACACCTGAAGGCTGTGCTGCCATTCAGAGAGACCTGGACAGGGGCTTTTTTCTTTGCAGAACTGTAATTTCTGTGAGTTCCCTCACTTTTCCACTGCATGATGCTCCTGAAGCCTAGGTGCTCTTATTTCTTCCTCTTCCCTAACCTCCCCTTTGAAAACAAAATCATTCACACAGTGACGATGAATTAATTGTGTTGCTGCAGGAAGAGCTCTCAGGCGTCAGAAATTAGGAAGTGAGAGAACTGAGGCTGTTCACTCAACTTTAATTAAGTTCCAGTGTAAAATATATTACAATAGCCTTTACCCTTCGTTAACACAGCCTTGGGCTAACTCTTACACAATCTAGCCAGTACATTTTTTCCAACAATACATTTTACAGAGGACGCTGTATTACTACCTATTGCTAAGACTGCCCGAGACTTCTGAGACCCTGTTTTCAGTCACTTATCCCTCTGTCAAGCTTTAACAGGTGGGACAAAATTTTCCAGTTCTGAGCCCTTTTGCATTTTTTCCAATACAAAAATCATAAAGTTTCTACCAAAATTTTCTGACTTTTCCAAATACCTGGCTAATGAAAAATACACTATTTTGCTGAAGTTAAAAATTCTGGCCACCTTTGGTTGGGCTGAGACCTCAAAGCTTGCAGGAGACAGACTTTGAGTTATGGCCACCTCCACCACAACAGAAACACTTTGGAAAAATGACAGGACCTCTAACTTCTGCAAACGCTTCAATTTCTTAGCAACTAAATTATCCAGAAGCTCCTTTTATCCTGAGTGTGCCCTGACTTGGAGGTCGAGTGAGACCCTCCTCAGTGGTCTGTGCTGCTGTGGGCTGAGACCAGGAGCGAAGGGAAGAAAGCTTGTCTCTACCCAGTGCCGACAGACTCTTGGACAGGATACGACCAGCAAAATCTTAAGAGTTCTTTGTTATTTAGGAAGAGTGATTTTTTTTTTTTCCCCCAAAGGCATATATGCTCAGCCACATTTGGAAAGATTTTCACCAGAATGGCAACAAACATACTTCTGACAAAACCCTATTTGCTAAATTTCAAATAAAAGGCATGAAGAAATTTTCAAGGCAAAAAGCATCTTTTTATTTCTAACCACTTAAGAACGACTAAGCTGTTGTGACAGGTATTTTCTTTCAGTCTAAAACAATCAGGACAGAAAAATTCAGGACAAGAGATAAAAGTTTGTCCAATCTGCAAGATGCTGCAAAAGGGCCTTACATTAAGAAGCATCGGGATGCCCAAGAAAGCTTCAAGTGCCTCCTATATAATAAAAATCATAAGCTTTAAATGTATATCAATAAATATCAAATTAAGAGAATCCAGGAAAACTCTGAAGACACCAAACAAAGCCACGTATTCCCCCACAAAAGTGGTCATGTGCAATATGCTCATGACATGCTTGGAAAATAAATTAACATGGGCCCTACCGTACCAAGGAGAAAGAAAACTTCCTGAGAAAGACACCCTACTGTCACTTTCCTTCTGTCCTACAAGCCTTCCCAAACATCCCCAGTACGCAGACCGAGCATGGGAAGAGTCAGCTGGGATTGCGATTCAAGCAGGGCTTCACAGGGGAAGCAGCAAGGCGCCCGTCAGCAAACAGAAAGAAGGTGCAGCAGGAAAACCCGTGGGTGTAATTCCTCCAGTGAGGAGCAACTATGCGAGTGAGGAGCTGCACCTAGCTTTACAGGACCTTCTGAGCACGGCCCCATCCAGCACAACTGCAATAACCCAACTGAAAGGTGACTAAAGGAAGGGCTGCATCAGCAACTGATGCTCAAAATGTCTTTGCTGGCAAAAATGATGGCTGAGGGAGGGAAATGCTCTTCCCTGTGACTAGAGAAACGAGGTACAGCTAAGTATCTTGCAGGGTCCCAGTGATGTAGCCCTTGTGGACCAAGCCCATGTGGTCAGCCTGCTTGCCCTCATCTAAGAGCTGAGAATCATCAGCACCATGCAGTCCTGTCCATGCTGAAAAAGAGCAAGGAGGGAAAAGAACCTTGTGACCACACAGGGAAATTCTTAGAGTGGATGAAGAACGACCCTGAACAACTCCCTGGCATCTCCAGAAAGATGGAACCCAGCTATTCAATGGTCGATCAAAATCCACCAAACACATCAAATACAAATACACCAGCAAGGGCTACCTTGCATCTTCCTTCTGATAAGTGTTGAAGTACTGTGGAAGCAGTAACAGAAGTTTATCTGGAGCTTAACAGTACAGAGGAACATGGTCTGGTGATGGAAAGGCTGCATCGTTAATCAGACGGCATAGCCATGCGCTCTACTGAGGGCGCCTGTTCTAGGTCTGAGTTTTGGTGGTACCTGAGCACCACTTGCTTCTGCCTTCAAAAAGGACTTCCAAAGGACTACCCAGGGATTCCTGCAGGCAGTGACGTGCTCTGTTCTGCTTCACAGCAGGAGGAGCAGGTGCTGACTTTGTGAAGGCTCTCCCTAAACCTTCCAAATTACTCTCTTCTTCACTCTGCACACCATCCTGTCCCTCCCCTGCTACCATAAGGGCTGTTTGTGTTCCCATTCCTCACCTCATACTGTCATTCCCTTCCTGCCATCATTATCCTTGTCCTGCTGACGACCAAGTTGGTCCATCAGTCAGGCTGTAGTTTCTAGAGTTGTAGTACAAGAAGCTCACAGACGTCAACAGTTAAAGATACTCCTCTCATCCTCATCTTGCCCTGTGGTCCTGCCCTGTGCCACAGTGCTCAGCTCTCCCAGCTGCTTGTGAGGCTGTTGTGGAAATCTCTCAGTCAACTGATCGGGCTTAGAAACCAGGCAAGCGCCCCTGACCCCTCAACTCCAAAACAACAAGTGGTCCTTCCCCACTTCTTTAAGCTGGATCAGTTCCAGGATGGGGTCTGAAACACAAGGGTATGAACAGTTCTGTGGGCACACATCAGCGAAAGCAAGCGTGAAAATAAGCAGCAGCCAAGCAGGTACAACTTCATCTGGCATCATCGTACAACAAGGGAAATCGCAGCAGTGGGGCAACAACCTGTCAGACACTCCACGGAGTTAAGACATGGAGTTATAGAAGAAGCTCTTAGTGGCTTGCACCAACCACTTTCCTTATTCTGTGGATATTCACAACCTTGGCTGAAGACAGCACCTTTGCTAACAAGATGTGAAGTCTCTCCCTGAATCCTCATCTTTCTCTGCCCTGTATTCTCATGTCTCTCTCACATCTGCCCACTTGTCTCAAGAGTCCTCTCGGACATTTTCTGGATGCAGCATCCAAAACTCACCGTGTTACATCCACTCAGACAAACACCCAAGGAGAAAATTTCATTCAGCCAGTAAGTGCCAATATCAGTATCAATAACAGATAATTCTTGTTATCCGCATAAATCAAATAAACTTAATGGATTTACCTAGCCTAAACGTAACAACTGTACAAATAAGCTTTGTGCAACACTTGCACCAGGCCGTGCTGTCTGAACTGTATATAGGATTCTTCTTCTTGCACGCTCCTGCTGCTTACTGTAACGTATCACCACTCTGTTTCTCCACACTTAAAAAAGACACGAAAGAGCAATAGTGCAAAATTGTGCAAAATTTTCATTTACACTGAAATAAATGTACGTTCAATTTCTGCAGCTACTTGATTTACATTATAAGCGTTGAGAATTGGAAATGTTCCTTTTTCTGTGCAAAACCCAGTTCCAATCAAAAGAAATGGGAAGCCCCAGAGCCTCACTTGGAAATCAAGATCAATCTGGTTGAACGAAAAAAGAAAAAGCAAAACTCTTCTCTTTTTTGTTAGCTGGATTATTCCCTTTTAACCGAAATGCAGAATATCTGTTGGAAAAAACAAACTTTCTCTTGACAGTGTTAGCATAGATCTAATAATTGCACAGTGTATTTACTCTGCGAAGTAAAAGTAACAAAAAGTTTTATAGTTAGCACATGTTAAGGACGACGTATTGGAAACTAATACCTCTTATTAGTGACCTGCATTTCAGAAAGCCTCACTCATTTTCTTTCCATGTGAGTGAATTTCATCACGGCCAAACATGTCAGCTTCACAAGAGACAAAACTCCTGTTTACCCACAGACCGAAAAGGCTTTGGATTGGCAGGAGCGTAAGCTCTGCCCACAGTGTCCCACCAACATGGGGGTGCAGCAGTAGAAGGCACCTGGGTGCTCCTGTCAGTCCCCCCAGCTTTCTGCTGAGACTGCCGTGCAGAGCCGTCAGGTTTGGGTTGTCTGATGTCCTCACTGGAAGCTGACACCAGACCAGGAAACTCACTTTTGAGTGAGTTTGAGCGCTACTGAAGTGCCATCAGATTCGTCTCTCCTATTGACAGGACCTTCTGACAAGCCAAGAAATGCCCTTCACGGGGCAAGCTTAGTGAAGTTACAGACAAAAACGCAGGCAACCTGGGCTGCACCTGCCTCACACTGTGCCAGTGCTGGAGGATTAGCTCATCATTCACTTCTTTTCAGTCAAAGATTTTTAGATGATACCTCAATGAAGGTCAGAAGAGCAGGTTCAATGCTGTGAATGCAGGACTGGCACACATACTGCCCTGGGGGATGCAGTCTGCCTCCTTGCCCCATCGCCCGAGGCAGTACCCAAGGCAGCTTCCCGCTCTATCAAGGCTGATCATCAGCCAGGGCAGGCAGAGCAGGCTCTCCCCACCACACTGCTGAACAAAACATGAATGAAAATTGATCCTGGGAAGCCAAGGCGCTCTGGACATCCAAAGCACTGCAGCCAAGGTGCCAGGTCCACGCCTGCAACCCGCTCGCTCCAGGAGCTCCTTCCTCCAGTTTGATGGCCCAGTTCTCCACCACACTCTCAGAAGTGAAAGGAGAAGAGGAATGTGGGACACTCACCACATCTGTGTTTGTGATCTTGGCCAGGAGGTCTGTGAGGCTGTCCCCATCATCGAGCTGAAGGCCACAGATGGCTGCTCCCACACTTCCAGTTGCTATCATTGACGGTGGGTACATGGCAAAGTTAAAATCTGCAAGAACAGATCTGGGAATTAGTCCAAGCCCAGATCAGAAAAGCTGCAAAACATCAGAGGCAAGCAACATAAAAAAAAAAAAACACACCCAAGAATGAAAAAAGGGGAAGTAGAAGAAAGGGAAAAGTGTCACTCTTTTTGGTCCGGCGGAGCTCATTAGTCACGCTGCTCATCACAAGCAGTCAAAGGAGGGGTAACAGATCTGCAAATTAAAATGGAAATGCGGTTCGGTCTTTTATTCTCACTGATGCATAAAGTAAACCTGGACAATTTTTAATAGTCTTTCCTTAGTTTTAAAGCTCTCTGTAATTTATGTCAGAAACGTGGGTCTTGGTCACATTAGAGCTCTCTGTATAACCGGAAAACTAACTGGAATAAAGTATCACAAAAGACTGAACTGAGATTTTTAGTTTAAAGACTTAATTAACTCAAGCATTTAAAGACCTGTCCAGAAAAGAGATTTTAATTAATGATTCATCTTTACCACCTTTGCAATTAGGAAGTTGAGAACATTTACAGCCCATAGATACGTAATCAAAGGAAAAAAGAAAGACCACGTTTGTCATTGCTATTATTTCTTGATAAGCAAGTTGAAAATACTTTTCTAAACTTTGTCTCACATCTGTGGAGATCAGGAGAGAAATGAAAGTAAAACTAAAGCTTCTTGTGACCTTTATAAGGCAACTTTATGGTTTATGATACTGCCATAGGCACTGGTTTATCGGTATGTCTTATCAAATACCATTTCCGGGAAATCTTCTAGGTTACTGACACCACCTAAAACGAAACTTGGTTTGCAAGTTCTTTGGTTCGACAATAACTCATTCACAAACCCTTCGCTACCAGTTTTTAGTTGGGGAAACGGGGAGAAGGAAACCCAAGTAATACTTAATATGAAATAAACCACAATCAATATATTCAGCCTATTTATAGAAACAGATTGTTAGAGAAAACGGCCCTTCTGTTAAGGGCAGATCTCAAGTCCTCTCTCTTCAGCTAGCACAAATTCTGTAACCCTGTTGACGTCTGCGTAACCGTTCGAGTTTTAGACACATGGAGAGTTGTTCTCGGCCTCCCAGACTCTGAGCTGGCAGACACTGCAATCGCTGTGGAGACGGCAATGTCTTCTCCGGGCTGGAATATGTCCCTGGGACCCACGAGGAATGAAGCAGTCAGGTAAGAATGGTACTCAGGTCATAATGTTCACCCAGACTGGTGGGGGATGTAAGAAGTGGGGAGAGAAAAGGAGGAGCTGAAACCCTGACATGGATTTATCTGTCTCACAAAGCCACCAGGAGGTGACCACCTGCAAGCCCACCATTGCACGCTGCTGAAGCCCACTGTCCTTCCTCCCGGGGGAGCTCAGCAGACATCACGCTCTGACAAACTCTCCTAAAGGTGCAAATTCCCACCAACTGAAGCAACGAATATGGTCTGTCATTACTACAAAAATAGTAACTATGCACTACTGTAATAGTAAGAACCCATCGTAGATAGGAAAGCTGATGATCTTGGAAATTAAGTTATATTGCCCCCACTGATGAGTCAACAGGAAAGCGTTGACTCCTATTTCTGAGTGCAGGACACAGCCCAGAGGATGCTGATCTCAGCACCTGTCAAGGTAACAGGAATTGCACTTTCACGACCAAAACTGCAAAATTTAGCTCACCTGGATTTATGCACACACATGCAAGAGCTGGCCCCATCCAGCCTGTAAGTGGGTGACCAGGGAAAATAGATGAGGTTTCCTGACCTAGCACATGCACCCTCCGCAGAGCCCACCCTTTCCCTCAGTGTCTCAGCCTCTGGTTGCACTTACCATCGGGCCAGACTTCGAGAGCAGGCCATAAATACAGTGGGATGTTAAGGTCTCGAAACGACCCTTATTCTATGCCGGTTTAACTCTTTTCTTACTCATTGCTACTGGTGGGGGGACCTCAGGACTCGGCTTTGCAGTAGCTCATTCCTGTGGGTTGATTTGGTAGCTAGTGGCTCCATGGAAGAAGTGCGATGGCTGGGCCACCAGTTTATAAAGTCCAATATGAAGAGCAAAAAAATAGTAACCAAAGGTTTTTATAAAGGCTGCAGATGTTTATGTGCTTGAGTGACTGTCCAGAGTCTCCTCCCTGTCCGCAGCACAAATAACAAACGTCTATAAAATTTAAGAATGTTCAAACATTTATGGAAGAGACCTAGTGTCCCCAAAATCTGCTGTCATCTCCCTACTGCAATTCATCAGCAATCTCACTACTTTCTTTCGAAAAGGGATACGTTAAAGAAGACGGCATCTTCCCAGGTCTGTTTCTCCTCTCGTACACGCTGCCTTTGCTTGGGTTTGCAAATGCCATGTGCTTACATTGGCCCACTTGGCCAAGGAGGCCCTGAGTTGGGATGTGACTCCCACATTTAAATCTTTGGACTTATCAAACCGTTTGTCTCCTAGTTAAGCATGGGAACTATGGGTGGCAACGGACTTTCCATAATTTATCCCTCTTTGCCTCGAGTTTTGGGGAAGACATAGTAAAAAGATGATGTGAAACCTCTTGAACTCTGCCGACCTTTGGACAGTCCCTATGGAAGCTACGATGCAGCGGGTGAGAACCAAACCTCACTCCCTCCCACCCATCCTTTGAGCCAGCAGCAGGGAGAAATGGACTCACTCGGAGGTCTGGGTGGACCCACATCCTCATGCGTGGTCACAGAGCCCCCCTGGAGCAGCTTCACCCAGCCCCAGGCGGCTGGTGGGGAGACCCAAGTGATGGGGAGCTCCCATGTCTTGCACTCAACACTCAGCACAGGCCAGGCGCGGCGGGCTGAGCGAAGGACACAGCTCCAGCCTGCCCTCTGAACTTCCTTGCCTCCTAGGGGCTTGCATCAGGACCTTCACATTATCCAAACGCTGGTTTTCTCGTGGTTGGTTTTATATCTACTCCCAGAAACCGTCTTCCTAGGAAGCCGAATAAAGAGCCACAGTGCCCCTGCCAACTAGCACTGCTGTAGGTCTGCTTCCACGTGGGGTCACATGAGAACATTTCTATGCCCAATAACCTTGTTAGTTCCCTTAATGTCATTCATAATGCAAATGAGACAGCGAGCGAATGGCCAGAGGCCCAGAGTGACTAAAGCTCAGCATCCAGAAAGTCTTACATTGCCTCTAGCTCTAAACTAACTTCCCTCCATAACAAGCACCATAAACTTGGCTATCAAAGCTACACATGCCCAGTCTTTGTTGTACAACAGGCAGCGATTTGTATCACTGGCTTCTATTTTTAGCATATTAATTAACTACTGCAACTGGTGAGGCAAGTGTCTCCAACTGGAGAGTGTGGCGCCATTGTCTGAAGTCATCACCTCATCTCGCGCTATTGAAAATCATGGCAGTGACCCTCCTGCTGATATGAATTTAACCTGACATGCCCACAAAGGGATGGGGGGTGGTGCACCAATTTTGTGCACATGGTTCTCCACATCACCCTGGACCCTATTAGTGTGGAAAGAGCTCATTGAAAGAAAAGAAGCCACATTGTGCTGGGCCACCTAGAGGGTTGAATAGAAAAGGCTGAGGAAAAGAGCAGGCAGCGGAATAAAGGCCGTAATTAACATATTTCCATATTCAAGCAAAGCAATAACTACGTGAAATGTTTGTCAAGGTGCAATGAAAGCATAAATACTAAGTACCGTATCTGAGGGGATGCAGAACCCCCCTCTGAGACCCTTACATTCCATCGAGAAATTCAAAACAAGCTTTTTACATGTTATTTCCAACTATAAACCTCTATCCTCGCTTCCTCTGTGATAACAATCCAAGTCCCACCACTGTCACTCAATTTTCATACAGGTAAAACTGCCTCCAGAATTAAGTTATGAGCTTGCCCTGAGATTTAAAAAAAAAAAAAAAAAAAAATCAAAATAAAAGAGGGAGAGAGAGGACTTAAAACATATGACGCTGAAACATGCGCTTTTACTTAAAATTCTTGTTGGAGATGATAAACCCTGAATTACAGAGGGAATCTTATAAAAAACACTTCTTACTGGACACCTGAAGCAAGGCTATGGGCTAAATCCTTCTTTCGGACCTATGTGCAACCTTGGTTAATGGGCACCCAGAGCCTACACCGAAGACACGGCTCTGACTCTAACTTTGCTGTGATTTATGCAATTCCATGGCAAAGTACAAAAACGTCTTTTTGTAGTGCAAAACGTCTAGAGGAGTAGTGCAGCAATGTGTAGTCGACAAGAATCTGACATGAGCACACCAACACTTCAAGGAAGAAACAAGTTCTTAGAAAGCAGGATTTGTTTTAACTTCTGTTCCCAGGCAGTAAACACCAGAAACCATCCTATCCCCATTTTGGTATCACTTTTTTCCTAAAGGACCTTAAAAACAAGGGACCAACCTTGCACAATCCCACTGACTTCAGTGTTGGAAATAAAAAAAAGGCCAAAATAAGAAACAGTGCCCTTTGAAACACAGCCACCTCCGGACCAGGCTGCTGGAGTCATCACGCAAATTCAGGGTACCCTGAACCCGCACCCTGCTTTCAGGCTGGAGCTAACACTGCCAGGGCACGAACGTCTGCGTGTGCCCAGGACGGTTCCGTGCCAGCGCGGCACGCGTAAGCGATGGCCAGGTTCTCGGGCCCTGCGCACCGCGGCTCAGCTCTTTTGCTGGCTCTCTCCTGATCCAGGGGACTTCACTACCTCCGAGCCAGGAAAAAGCAAGGTTGACAGTCAGTGTAAAGCAGGAGGGAACTGGAGGCAGGAACCCAGAGAGGTCCCGCAAGGGGAAGCCCTTACTCTCAGACAATAAATGAAAACTGCCGGAAGGAAAAGAGTGCTGACAAATATCCAGGCTGAACGTGCTCAGTGTGCCAAAGCCAGGTGGGAACTCTTACCTTCTCACAAAGACCCTTGTTACTGCTCTGGCCGCTGGCTGTTTAACAGCCAGTTTTCATCCCTATAATTTGATAGAGGTTTATTTTCAGAGTTGCAAATGC